GACTATGTAAACTAACTACACTGCTTCTTCAAAAAATTTTAGTTCTAGTCTGGAGTAAGTTCAAAAATTTTTATGGATAAATTTATCCAGGATATTCCAGGCCTCGTCTTCCATATCCCCATTTTGGGTCTGATGAATCCATAATGAGTATTAAAAGAGTGCGGAAAAAGTTTTTAAAAAATACTTTTTAAGTAATAAATATTTATGATAGTTTTCATTTTACTTCTGTTAGATAGTTTAAAAAAACCTGAATTATATTTATAAATCTATATTTTACGAATGTTACTTGAATTAAAGTTTAATTAAAAGTATTTGAATCCTCGAATTCTTAATTTAATTAATAGACACTATTTGAAGCAACTATATTAAATAAAGCATATAATTTTTTATCTAGCTGCTTAGAACAACTACTGACTTTTATTTAGCATAATCTATGAAGGAAACATCTGAAAATTGATTAATCGTATACAATAAATAATAACTTTATCTTAAAATGAAATCTTTCATTATTAGGAAATATTGATAATTTCTATAATTAAATAATTTTAATAAATCTTTCTTGCATTTAACTATTATTTCAATTTTTCTTATAAACAGGAATATTGAGATTAAAATTTTTATAACTTTTATATAATTTTCTTTTAATTTTTAATTTTAGTGTTTTTATATATTTTAAGACTGGAAATTGAAATATTTTCTCCTCTGAAAGTCTTTCGGGAGTAAAATAAATCTGGGAATTATCTATTTGAAATTATAAATATAAAGTCCATCGATACAGTGAGTACAATTCAAAGAAAATGTTATCATATTTAGTTTATTTTATTTGTAATACGTTCACAATTTTTAATACGAAATTTTTATTTATCTCTAGTATGTAGGAGTATTCTATCCGATAAATACTCCTGACATATGACAAATGAGTGCTTTCAATTATAAAATATCATAAAAAGTAATAATATAATATAATAGCTTAGTCCATTTGTTACTATTCTATTGAATAATAACAAATGGACTAAATATGGTGAACTTTCGTCTCAAAGCAACGCTCTATCCTATTTCTTTAAGGACTGTATATGAATAGTTTTTTAGCGCCATCTGAACGAAAAATTAACAACTAAATAAGACAAATTTAAAATACAGTATTTAAATTGATCGTGATAATGATAATAATCGTAACATTATTAAAAGAACCAATTAAATGCGTCTACGTTGCTTTATTTATTTTAATATTAAAAAAATCATATTTTAAACTCTTTGATAATAAAAAAAGAAAAAATATATTATGAATATTGTTTCTTCAGATGAATGATTAAATTGTCATGGACAAATTGAAATGTCTTCTTTACACGTTAGATCTTATGCTAATTTTAGACTTGATAGTTTTTTGTCATTACGACACGAGACTAAATTTATCAATAATGAAATGATTTATTGCTTGATTTAATTTATTTCATCGGATTTGTAATTTTATTTTCTAAATTTTCTTATGCTTTGGTGTATTTATCTATTGTTACTGCTCACACATTGCACAGAATATAGCTCGTATAGCAAGGTCTAATATTCTATTTTCCGTCAGTTAAACTCAGAATGACGTTCACAAGCAGAAAAGAAACTATACTGGATCGGATTCGAATCTGAATCAATCACAATGTCTGGCCAATTAGCTAATTATTATTCTTTATATAGTTATATGCTTTTATTATAAATAATTATTTTTACAAATCATATTTTATACGAAGAAACGAAGATGGCAAAGCAAAAACTAAATTTTGACTTATTATCTTTTCATCGTTTTACGATGCTATCAGAAAACTTTCCTAAATATTATTCATTTGAATTCTATCTTCAATAAACTATTAATTGAAGTAACTTATTCATGTATTTAGTTTAATTTTGTGGCATGAGATTTAGAACATTATGAGTATTTTTGTAAATTTAGCATTACTGGAAAATTGAATTGACATCTCGTATTTCTCCTACGTGTATGTGTGTGCATACGATCCTATATGTACTTGTCTTTGTGTGTAATCTCTCATTTATAAATATTTCTTTAACCCATTTATCCATAATCATTTCTTTATTATGGATAGTAAAAATATGTCAATAAGAAAATTTAAAATGTTACATTACTCATTGTATCAAATATTGTTTTAAAAGTAATTTTTATTCAGCAACTTCAATAACTACTAATATGTCTAACTTTTCTTACGAAATAAATCTTCTCACACGCTCACTTTCTAAGAATGTCAACATGGTAACCTATTTACTTGATTAAGAACGAAATGCGGACCAACATAGATTATAAAATAGCAAAAGATTAGATCTTCAAATGGAATCCATTAATTTTGTTTTTATCTGTTTGATAGGAAGTCGAAAGAGTATAAAATGATCGTTTTATTACAGGTATTGGTTGCATAGTTGAGATATTTACCGTTCGACTATGTAAACTAACTACACTGCTTCTTCAAAAAATTTTAGTTCTAGTCTGGAGTAAGTTCAAAAATTTTTATGGATAAATTTATCCAGGATATTCCAGGCCTCGTCTTCCATATCCCCATTTTGGGTCTGATGAATCCATAATGAGTANATCGAAATATTAATTTTATAATATTTATTATTGAATTACAATATACTTAGCCTATTTAGCTTTGATATTATTAAAATAAATTATAGTCTTTAAATAAAAAGTGTGACCGTTGAAAATTAGTTAATCTTATGTAAAAAGTAAGTTTAAATAAGATTTTAAATTTAAAAAAAACATTGCCAATGTTGTTAAGCGTTTTATCAGAATAATTGCATCACTTTCTTTGAGTCTTGTCAAAAAATATATTATCTGATAATAGGTATTATTTCCCTGTTACTTGCTTCAGGCTAAGAAAATTTCATTTTGTTGGCAATGCACCAAATACTTTTTTTGTGCCAATTCAATATCGTTTATAATAATTAATTTGTATAATAATTTGATTATAATTTTTAAATATAATAAAAAATTATAAAATATACAAATTATACAATTTTTTTGCATTATTTTATAATTAAACTAAGATAAGATAAACTATAAAAAATTCCTATATATAACTTGGTGTTCATTAGTACATAAGTACCTCGTATGTAACTACAAGCTTATATTCACATAGTACATTCTAAGGTGATGTTTACGATCTAACATATTACTGAAAATCATATAATAAAAAATGTACATTATACATAATATAATTACTAAGGTAATTCAAAGTATATCATTTAAACGTAGATTATTTGCAATATATTATATATTATTTATATAAGTTGTATTTTAAGCAGCATGGTTTCTCTTAGACCAAAATATTGTATACTTGTAACCGTTATTGCAACAGATGTCAATTTACTGCAGCAATTAAATGTGTAATTATGTGAATAAATTAGATATCAGCTTCTGATTCTTAAATAAATTATGAATCTTGTTATATATTATATGTTAGGACGATAATTAAAAATAAAGATACAAGATTCATAATCAGATTCATCCATATCAATATAAACAGGTTTCAAACTGTTGCTTATTATTTTTTTTTATACATTTCTCTATAATTCTTCTTAATGTAACGGACTCCTTACTTTCAATGTAAATATCTCTTTTAAAAGAGTGCATTTTCTTCCTTGTAAAGTAATTAAAAATTTTAATATTTCTGTAGAAATTTGCATTATAGAAAAATACAGTATAAACATTGGAATAAAATATGCCAAAAAATTATATTAAACTAGAAATTCGCCTGTTAAGCATGACGGAATATTTTTTAATGAGAAAGTAGTAGAGATTGAAGAATTGAGAAGAGCTTCAAGTCGAGCTCGACGTTGTGATGCTGTTTCTGTAGCCCTTGACAAAGCCATTCTTACTCGATATTGCTCAAGTCAGACTTCACGGCCTTCAGGGTCTCAGCTGTTATTGTTCTTTTAGATCTAGAATATATTTGACCAATTTTACTCTTACACTTTCCCCTAGGCATTCCCCCCCGACAAAATAGCGAGTCTTTTTAATTTCACGTTGATAAAATAATTGTACGTACTTGTACGTACGTTAATTAGATGAGCGATAACACTTTCTAAATAAAGGGTCGTTAGATTGTTACTTCCGATTGGATAATAGAAAGCCACGTAGTCAGAAAGAAAAGATTTTTAGAAAAAAATATTATAGAAGTGACACAATGCGACTATCATTTTTAAAGTAAATTTAATGAAGTAAGTTTAAAATATGCCATATGCCAAAATATTTTGCAACTTACGGGAAATTTCCTCGTCAGGCATGAACGTCACTGTGACGTAATTGCGATCACCGATCCGAAATCGGCAAAACCTTTATTCTATAGATAATATAATACTATATAACATAGTACATAAAACGAATATAACCAAAATTTCATCTGGATTGGATAAAAATTGCAGGAGTTATATGGAATTCACACATACACAGACGAAGGCTTTTGTATTAGTAACAAAGGTTTAAGAATAAAAATATTAAAAACAATTTTAAAAGCATAATTTTTATTTCATTCTTGTATCAGTTATTAAATAAAATTTTTAATCGATAAATTATATGTATTATATTTATTTGCATTATATTTGTATTTATATATATGCCATTACATCGAACATATAGCTCATAGGAAATCATACATGTATTTTCTATGAGCTATATGCTAATCTGTTTATGTAAAGATTAATGAATTAATTTTTAAATATGTACGCATTTATCAATATAAAATTTTTAATTCAGGAAAAACAAACCAGATCTTGAAGATAAGAATTGGAAAATGTCCAAATTTAATTTTATTAAAGTTTAAACGTTGAAGCAACAATTACTTCAACTTTGAAACGTTGAAGATAGAGATAAGTTTGGCCCTGAATGTGGATAAATCTGACTTTGAATTTTTATTTATCATTTGTTGAAAAATATCTTGCCTAATATGATTGGACCGGTTTTATTATATGCCTCGAGCAATTTTTCAACAACCAATTCACTTCTTCCGTTTGATTCAATGTCATTTATAAATATGCAGAATGTATATAAGAGGTTATATACTATAATATAAGCTATCATTGTTCGAGTTGCAACCAAGAATTATCACCACTAAGATTCCAAAAATGAAAAAATATTTTTTTATCGTGTTGCTCTTAGCTGTAGGTGAGTACGAAGATGATTATTTAAATAAAATTTATACATTTTTATTCTAAAAATTACCTTAAACTCTATAGAAAGTAAAGTTTTTAGATAAGTTTTTGTTGTTAAAATATTAATAATAGAATTATGTATTTTCAGGAATAGATTTAAGTCATCAGGAAGATAAATGTCACTCTAATAAACTGCAAGATTGTCTATTCATTTTAACAACTTATGCTAAAGAGCATGACTCACCTTTCCCAAGAAATGAAGAAGAACTTAAAATACAATGCACGTAAGTTAAATAATGCACAAAATTTTATATAGCCTATACATTTAATTACAATTTATACTTATTTATGTATTTGCTTTTTAGATACTTAGAGGACATGAGAAACTGTGTATATAATTATAGTCGAGTATGTATGACAGATCTGGAAAGATCTCTTGGTGACTTAATTCTAGCAGGAACAGCACAAAGTATGAAAGATATGTGCAATCCTTCTCATTCTTTATATCAAAGTAAGAATATTTTCGACTTAATTTAATGATTTTAAAATGAGAAGTATAATTCAAAGATGTTTTATTTTAGATTTCCTAAAAGAGGCTGAATGTATTAATGACAAATATGGAGGAACAAAGAGCTGTTTCGATGATGCTTTCGCAACTATTGAGGTTTTAGAAGAATCAAAATCTACAGATAGAATACATTTATTATGCTGGTAATTATTATTATTATTATTTTTTCTATCAATTTATGTAACGAAGCACTTAATTTTTGTCTTTTTTACAGTGGAGTTAACCGTTTCCGAAAATGTGTTGGTGATTATTTCGAACCTGCCTGTAGCAAAACAGTGGTGGAATTTATAGATAAAATATTAGAATTTGTAGCTACGGAATTTGCATTACAAATCTGTACTTCGTACGAGGATTTCAAGCAAGGATGCCCCAAGTTACCATCAGGAGAAGCATTAAAAGGAACATATAAAAATAATCTCCTTGGTGAATTTCTTCAACCGTTTTACAGAGCTTAAACTCTGTTAAAATTATTAAAAAATAAAAAATATTATTTTTTGTTAAAAAAAAAGCAATAAACAATAACCCNAAAATAATTAGTATTTTTTAGAGGAAATAGAACCCACGAGACGAATACAGCATGGATTACACATATACATACAAAACAATTTAAGTAATAACGTTAAAAATTGTTAATATTATTACTTAAACAGTTTTATGCTTGTATAATATTAATTTAAAATGTTTTGTATGTGTTATTGTATAATAATTAAGTGTTAACTGTTAACACTACTTAACCTGTTTTGTGTAGTACGTTAAAATATCCGTTGCCTTCGATATTACTTAAACTCGTGTCTTTGGTTCTCTCCGGAAAGTCAAGTAGCATGCGTGTTATATATGTCAGAATTTACAGTTTAAGGATATTTACTGTTCAAATATCTATAAAATAATGTCTTCTCGGTGTATTGCCCTTAACGTTTATCCTAATATTAGTATTATAAATGTTTTATTTGCAATAAAATTGCATAATTAAGATTTTATATTACGCAATTTTATATTTAAAAAATAAGTTCAAATACTTTTACTTTTTTGTATAAGTTCAGGCCTTTTTTATGATTATAAATTAACTTAAAATAATTAATTTTTAATACACTATTTAAAGAATATAAATGAAGTTTATTTAATTTATATGCAAAGTATATATTGCATAATAAATCGTATATAAATGAATCATTTATTGATTTGAACAGTTGCATAGGCATCAGTATACAGTACAATAAATAGGCAACACGACTACTATGTCAAATCAAACAAGTAGCATAAAAACTAGTTTTCTGAAGGACATTCTCACTAATAATTTCTCTTGATTCTTATTGATAAGAGTTTTTACTAAATAATTCCATTAAATGAGTAATTTTTCCAAATTTAAAAAAAACTTTTCAAAATAATGACGTTCTCTTGTTATGCTAATGGTATTATCTATCATAAGAAGGCCTATTAAAATATGTTACTGAAATTATATTGTCAAATAAAAGAATTTTAAATGTATAACTAAGCAGAATTTATACAAACTCTTCCTCCTTGTTAATGTTAGTTGGAAAAATTTAAACTGTAAAGCCTACTTTCAAGCTGCTTTAATGAATATTTATAAAAATAAATAAATAGATATTTTCATATCTATTTACTGTATTTACTTTCTGGTTTTATTTTATTTATTAATTATATTATACAATATACACCATAATTTAGTGTTTAAATGATAGTTCCTAATACTTTTCTGTCATCTACATGATTATTTTAATCTTAAATTTACATATTTCTCAATTTTTATAATTATAAGATATTAAAATATATAAACAATTATATAATGCTAGAAACTAGGAATGAATTAACTATTAAAAAAATTAATGCTGCAACAAGGAAAATATATAAAATAATATCTCTTATATTTTACCTGTACTTAAACTTAGTTTATATATTTAGATATAGAAACAATCTAAATAAGTTAAAGAAATAAAATCAGTTTATATTTTTTATTAAAAATAATTAGTATTTTTTAGAGGAAATAGAACCCACGAGACGAATACAGCATGGATTACACATATACATACAAAACAATTTAAGTAATAACGTTAAAAATTGTTAATATTATTACTTAAACAGTTTTATGCTTGTATAATATTAATTTAAAATGTTTTGTATGTGTTATTGTATAATAATTAAGTGTTAACTGTTAACACTACTTAACCTGTTTTGTGTAGTACGTTAAAATATCCGTTGCCTTCGATATTACTTAAACTCGTGTCTTTGGTTCTCTCCGGAAAGTCAAGTAGCATGCGTGTTATATATGTCAGAATTTACAGTTTAAAGATATTTACTGTTCAAATATCTATAAAATAATGTCTTCTCGGTGTATTGCCCTTAACGTTTATCCTAATATTAGTATTATAAATGTTTTATTTGCAATAAAATTGCATAATTAAGATTTTATATTACGCAATTTTATATTTAAAAATTTAAGTTTTAAACTAAAAAGTAATTCCTGTAAACATTTTAATATACTTCTATTAATTATTTTCTATTATAAGAAACTTATCATATAAAAAAAGACCAAGTAAACATGAAAAATATTAATCTGGCATTTTGTTTCATTAAAATAAAACAAAACAAAATAAATAAACTATATTCATAAAATAACTTAACAATGTTCCTTAAATTTGAAGTTATTTATGTCATCTCAATACCATGAATAATTTTTTTACATTGTTCAAAAGCAAGTTACCTTACAGCTTATAAACAAACANGTCATTAAATGATTCTTCGTGTGTTTGAGTTAAGATGAAGTGAATTTACTTTCCTTTTTTACAATTCTTTTTAAAAAATTAAACTTTTTTTATTTATATATTTTAAAAAGACAATCTTGCCTAAACAATAGGTAAAAACTTTTCCTCCATTTTTATCATTATAAAGTATTATTGACTATTCTGTTGTCTCAATGTTATTGTTCTTACAATTTATATAGTCATAAGTTAGAAACTGAATCAAATTTATATAAAAAAGAAAAAATATATATTTTTGATTGTTAAATTTCAAAATTATTATATTATTTAACGTATTTTAAAAAATACAACAACGAAATTACTATTTTATATGTTAAAAACTACCATCGAGTATAGGCAAATTAAATCAAATTGCTTCTAAATAAATGGTAAAAATTTTGCAGTAAATATTAAAATTACATCGTTCAAGTACGAATATATTAAGTTAAATTACTTTAAAAACCACAAAAATACATTAAAAAATAAAGCAAAATAATGTCTTTAAAATAATATTAAATCACGTTACAGTTATAAAATCTTTTTAAGAAATGTCGAAATTTAAATAAAATTTTGCAATAATTTATAAAATTTAATTAATTTCCCTTAAAAAAGAATGAAATTCTAATCAATTTTTCCGTTATAAAAATCACTTTCTTTAGAACGAAAAGCGTAGGGTGTATTTAAGTTTTATAATTTTAGTCAATAACAGCAAAGCCCTCGGGCAAATTTTTGATAAGCTGTAAAAAATAATTTGAAGTTTTACAGATAAGATTGATAAGTAGACATTTCCAAGTATATATATATACATTTAAAAAAAACATATTAAACTTTCAAGGATATCTTGAGAATGGAATAATAATGAACATTTGCGTCACTTATAGCTGTAGGGGAATTTTGTATAAGGTAAGAAAGCATTTTCATTCGATAATTCATTCCAAGGATCCACCCCCTGGCCTCCCGTTTGCAGACTACAAATACAGGAAAATAAAGCTTCTAGTATTTAAAATAATCTTTCAGTATATATAAAGACAAGAAGACACCAAGACTAAATATACAGTAAAACACTAGAAAAATGAAGTTATTTCTCTTTGCAATCGCTCTGGTTTTCGGTAAGTTTAATTTTGTCATTTCAACAGTTTTTTAAATACAGATTTATTGACTTTTTTAAAATTATTTTTAACATTTTATATTTAAAAAGTTTAAAATTTCTAATGTCTAAGAACTTTTTAGACAAGATATAATCGTTTTTACTGTAAATTCCAGTTGAGGCCCGAAAATATCTTCACGTTATCTTTCAAAAAGTTTATTTTTGAACTAATTAATCTAAATTTTGCGTTTATAAAACGCATTTTTTTAAAATTTGAACTTTAAAAGGCAAAATTTTTTTAGAATGTTTGAATTTTAAAAAAATTCAGTAATTGATTACTTATTCGAAATTACTTATTATTGCATTTTCTAAGAAGAAATTTTAAAATGTTTCCTTAGAAAATGCAACAATTTTAAAGGATTTGAATTTTGAAAAATTTCTTGGAATTATTGACTAAAAAGTGCGTTTTTGAGAACGAAAAATTATTTTAGTAAATTTGAATTTTTTTAGAAAAATTTTCTGCTTTTGGAATAAATGGACTTGAAAAATTTATTTTAAAAAAGCAACATTTTTTAAGAAACTTTTCTATTTTTTTACAAGAATTAATTTTGGAAAAACGAGAAATACGTTTAAAGAAATTTGAATTTTTAAAGAAAACTTCAAATTTATATTTAATAGTTTAAAAATTTTTTTAAATATTCTTTTTAAAAATATAATGTAAATTTATTTAATTTTAATTTATATTTTCATTTCTTCATATTTTCAATTGTGAAAAATTTTTAATAAAAATTTTAATGATTAAAAAATAATAATTTATACCCCTATTTTCTCATTATAAAAGTTTTAAATGAGTTATCCTACAGAGATTTTAATTATTTTTTTAGGAACGACCTTGAAATAGCCAGTTGCTAATGTAATTAAATTATAAAAATGTCACTTAAAAATTTATTTTAATTATAAAAATTTATTAGTTATTGAAAAAATTTTAAAAAATTTTTTCTTACTAAATTATTTATAGTCTTAAAATATTTAGCAATTAAATTAACCTTAATCGATATTTTAACTGTAAACTTGTAGATTAAATAATAATATAAATAATTATATAAAAAATATTCATGAAGAAATTTAAATAAATTTATTTTATAATTTATATTTTTAAAAATTTACTTAATCTTTTTACTGAATTTTAGGTATCAAACAAAGTTATGCAGCTGAATGCCACTGGAGAGAAATCGATTTATGTTTGGCAACTGCAGCTCTTTATGGAACTGGAGGAAATATAATTCCAGAAAATGAAGAAAATGTCGAATTATTCTGCAGGTAATTTAAGCTATAAATATCACAAAATTGCACATAAAAGTGTAACGATTGTATGAGTGTCACCATATTGAAACATTTTCCTCATTTTACACAATTAATTTTGTTTTTCAAATTAACCTTTTAAATATTTAATTTCATTCATTAATAGCACTGTTCAAGAAGGGCAATCGTGTGTAGGCAACTTTTCAACAAAATGTATGTCATCCTCATTGAGACAATTATTGTATTTGTTTGTTGAGCCAACAGTACAGTTCACTCAAGACTTCTGTACTAAAGGATCTGCATCGCAAAAAAGTAATTTATTAATTTATTTAACGATCAATTAAAATTCTAAAAAGTAAATTTATTTTGTATTTTTTTTTTTTTTTTGTAGAATGGTTGCAACACGCTCCATGCTTAGCAGAACATTTTGATGATGCAAGACCATGTATAGATGATGGATTAACAGCTTTAGAATACTTAACCAAAGTTCCACCAAAAGATCGATTTTCTAGTTTATGTTGGTAAGTTTACGAGGCAATAATTTTAAATTATTATTTTGATTTAATTAAATTAAACAGTATAATGTTTAACAAAACTCTTCTTTATTCCTCTAGTACCTTCACGAACATTCGTCAATGTTTAGGAAATCTTTTATCAGAAAAATGCTCTAAAGATGCTGAAGATTTAATGGATGTGATGCTTAGGAGTTTAATAAGCGATTTACCATTCACTGCATGTCAATCATTCGATCCAAAATCTGATAAATGTAGAGCTGTCCTTCCACCTCCGGGTACCAAAACCGCTGGATCTGAATCTGAATTACAAATTGTACGTTTGCTCTCTACATTCCTCGGAAGTTAAGAAGTGTTATCTGCATTTTTCTCATAGAAAATAAATTGTAGTTTTTTCCCCTAGGTAGTAACATAATCATTAATTAAAATTATTCTGGATTTCTAATAGTTTTGTGATTTAAAAAAACTAAATGGAAATTTGATACTTTTTTGTATTTTCTATCAAATTGTTGTTATTATTATAGAAAAAAAAAACATGATGTAAATTATGTATTCCTTTGTTATAAATTTTGTTAAATGAGATAAAAATGCAACAATAAAATATTTCTTAATAAATTTAAAAAGTTTGCAATTAATTCCAAGAATTCATTACTGTAGTAACATATTTCTTTAACATGAAATCATGGTGTGAATTTTATGATAAATTGTGTGATTTCTTTTTTCTAAAAATTCTTATTTTTCTGCCTTAAAAAAAAGATATAATTTCATCTTTATGATAGTAAATTAAAAAAATACATATATACAGAGTGGCCCAAAAGTTAGTTACCACTGTAAAGAGTTAAATTCCGTCTTATTCAAATTCGAATTAATGATATTTTACCACGTTTCCTCTGGTGATTTTTTAAGTTTACATCTAGTATATCACATAAGATACAGTAGACTAAAGATATAAATCTAAAAATTATCATAAAATTTAATTAAAATATCGAAGATTTACAGTAATTATGGTAAAAATACGCATAAAATTCAAAGAAATTCGTTAATTAATTAATTTTTAAGTAAAATAAATATTAAAAAAATACAAATGAAACACACTATTATAGATTTATTCATTATTATATTTCAAAAATTAATTATTTTGCAATATTTCTAACTTTTCATTTCCTGTTTTTGTTAATTAAATATCTTAATTAAATAAAAATAAAAAATTAAAAATATAAATTTGTAATTAAGATAGAATTCCTGATTAACAAGAAAATTTAATTTTAGACTTTAAATATTTTAAAGAAAATTACTTTATAAAATAAAATGTCATGCACTAACTCTGAATAAATCTTAATACTGCAACAGTATCTATGCCAGTAACGAAATTACATAGAATGGCCCAAAAGTCAGTTAACCATTGTAAAAACTAAATTTTTGTCGTATTTAAATATTCATATTTTCATCGTGTTTCTATCAGTTTCGTAAAAGAAAAAAAAACACGTTATTCTCAACGCATGGTTATAATTCATATTTAAGACTATACTTAAAACAGAAGAAACAAAGCATGGTTAACCGACTTTTGGATTACCCCATGTTATATAAGAGTAAATTATAACATAAATACTACAAAAGCAAATATTTTATCTCAATATATAATATAACAAATATAATATAACAATAAAAACGTTTTCACAATCTGAATGAAATAGGAACATTCCTATGGCATTGTTATTTTTATTATCATATACAACTTCCTTATTCAACTGTAGAGAAGTGTGTGTGTCTCGAGATAGATGATGTATTGAATTTTAAAGTGTAAAAAGTCATTTCCTGTGATCATTGAATGGAGTAAAATGAATGGAATAAAATGTCAAATTTTCCTTTCAAAGTTTTCCATTTCGTATAAAATAAAATTTAAGGTTTTTAACTGCGATTTATAGGAAAATTTTAAGGAAAATAAAAATCCAACTTTTGTTATAATTGCAATGATTTATATATAACTTTAAGGAACAAAGAGTAAAGGACACTTAAAGTTCGTCCATTGAGAATATTTTGTAAATTTTCTTACTTATTGTCCCGGTATAATTTTATTAAATCTATAATTATAAATTATATACTTTAAAAAAATGTTTATATATTTTATCTACATATACACCTTTAAAGTAATTTAAATTTGTATTTTTAATAAATAAATAAATAAACAATTCATAAATAAATTATTACATTTACAGAAACATTTCTAAAACTTAAAATTTTAAATTATATTTAAAGGAAAATAATCATAGTCTTTTAAAATTTCTGTAGATAATTTTATTAACTTTTATGAAATTTGATCGTAATTAATTTAATTCCAATCAAAATTTCATATTACAAAAGTCGATATAAAGAAAATGTTAATGATTTAATTATAATTATTTTAATTTAAATTATTTTTACATTAAACCAATGGTATATATTATAATTATTATTTTCTTTATAAAATTTTGAAATTTATCTAGAAAAAATTAGATATTATCACTTGAATTTTTCTTTGTTAGAAAGTTTCTTAATACTTCATTCCACCTTAAAAAAATAGTTTTATGTACTTGGCCCACTTTTATAACATTTATTTTATTATAAATATTAAAAATAATAAGTATTTTTAAAATTTTACTTGATAAAATAATCCCTCTTTCAATTGCAATTGTTTTCTTTTTTCGCTTATGGGATCGTGTATGTTGAATGTAAATCTTAACTTTTTTAACATTTTACTAACAAGCAAGTTGAAATTATTAATTTAATAAGTTATCGTTGTTTAAAATAAAGAAAATTTCCTAAATCAAGATCAATGCACAAGAATAATATTAACTTTCCTGATAACAATTCCTGATAACCTTCCAAAAATGGATTTCTATCCTATTAAAATGCATAAAATTCGTGTAATATTGAAAGACATTTATTGTTTAATGATTAAAAATATTAATACAATAATTAATTTTAATCACTTAAATGCATTTAAAGCTTACAAATTAGTAAAATTTTAAAATTTTTCTCTAAAAAGATGATAGATTCACTGTTATAGATATTGTTTACTTCAAGAATGATAGATGTAAGTGATAAGAATGGAATAATTAAACATAAATTCCAATTTAGATATATATATATTTTTTTACTTTTATAAGCTTTCTATTTAAATAAAGTAGAACATTTCAATATTGATAAAAATATATTTACATTTATTTATCACGCGAAGAAAGAGTGTTGAAGAGAATAACTCGTGCATAATCTTATAATATAATCGAGATGGATTGATAATAATAATGATAATAATATTAAGCGCAGAGCCCAAACGGTTAGGAGTTGAAAGTTGAAATTTGTTACACAGTTAGGGTACGTCATGAGAATGTACAGTACACTAATAAGAAGGGATTTTTTTGAACTTTTCCCCATGGGAGAGAAATGAGGGTAAAGGATTACCCTGAAGAACTCGACTTCTACTGTACTATTTTAGATGCGGTTTTTTTGCGTTTTTGACTGAAATCGACATATAAAAAAATGTCGATTTTCGTCAAAATTTTAGACCCATCTAAAAATTCTCTAATTAGCCTCGGAAAAAGGGGAACGTAATTCTTGCACCCAGTGAAAACGGGTAAGATCGACTATATACGATAACCTTTGTAGTTATATAAACCAAATTCTATAATATAATACAATGGAAGGGTTAGANCAACGATTTTTTATTTTACTTTTATATATTTCCATCTTTTCCATTTCTTGGAGATTGGACCGTTTTAATGATTTTTGACTCATCCCATTTTACATTTGCTCCTTCCGTCTGCGCCATGATTGCTAAAATGGTGTTGTTGTGCCTTTTATTAACGTTGTATTTATGTTCTCGCATACGTATTGCTAAGTTTCTTCTGGTTACACCAACATAATCCTTTGCTACTCCTAATTGTCGATTTTCAAATGGTATTTTATAAACTCCAGCTTTCTCTTGCATTTTTACGCTGTGTTTATCGTTCCTTAGTAAGCTATAGATGTTGGAAGCTCTTTTATATACCATTCTTGCGTTTTTATAAGTATGTACTTAATTCATTCATCACTTCATGCACGGAAGCAACTCGGCGCCAAGTAAAAATAATCATTGACTGACTATATACAGGAATCAAAGTTTCTGATTTTCGGGTTCGATTTCTCCGTTCCCTAATGTCTATAGTAAATCATAATACTTCGTTCGAAAAATACTTGTTTTCTTAGGTACTGTGCAAAATTTCAAGTTTTTCTATAAAGAGGTTGCCGAAATATAAGCTCAAAAAGTGCAAAAATCTCGAAACGAACGGTTTTTGTTCAAAACGTTATTCAGAATAACAAAAATTCAAATTTATGCCAATTAAAACTTTTTATAACGATTTTACTAAATGGTTTACTAAATGGATTTTACTAAATGATCGTCGTGTCGCCAAGCGCCGACCGAACTGTACGTCATTGTCTTAAGTCTTGATGTAATAACGCAATCATTAACTAAAAAACAATTCATATTCGAACAAAAGCATCTGAGATGTAAATAAATTGAGCCAAGTAAAAAATTATGACAATTTAGACGACAGTCAAATGTTTTTTCTTAAGATATTTTCTTTGGTAAGGATAGGCTTGGCATTTCGAAGCGATAAACTTGCCCACAAGATTTTTTATCTGTATTAATGTTTTTTACACTTTCCTTCCAAGCGTCAAGCTTATCTTTACCAAAGAAAAACTCTCAAGGTAAAAGTTCACTGTCATTCAAATTGATGCAATTTGTTAGTAGGAGCACTAGATAAATACTTTTTTTTTTAAATCTTGGTCTCCTTAGAGCATTTACATGTACTATGAGATCTTGCTGACCATTCCATACAGCGAATATCTTCACTGCCAAAAATGTCATTGACGAATGCAGCCTCATGTACTGTATGTGGACATTATCGTCCATGAAAATGAAATCTGCTTCCAAGGCACTTCGAAAAAGTCTTTACATGGGGAAAAGGTCTTTACTTCGGAAAAGTTCCAAAGTCACGTCTCTATACTTTCTAGTAGTAATGGCATCTACGCACAAACGCGAAGTCAGTGCAGCCATTAAGCATAATGATACCACCACCACTTACAAACTAGTTTCTTTTCACGATGTCCATAGGATTGTATCGGGTTCTCCGTTCTCTCCAGATTATAATCGGCAAAAATCGTTCTGTGAAATGTAACATTGCACTATTCATTCAAAGTCAAATGTTGTTGTTCTTTATAGCATTTTAAATATACTTATGTGTACAGGAGTATATGAAACCAACGTCTGGACAGATCATCCACTCGCTGTCTCCTGTAGACAGATTGTCGTAAAACTTTATTGTCGATAGCGTAGACAACTCTTTATAGAATTGCCTAATAGACATTCTTCGGTTACGGTGTGCTGTTAACAAATGACATTGTTAAGGAATGGTGATTCTTGGACATCCAGCATCTTCTGTACTTTGTAATCTGGCCAAAAGCCTGGTTATAACCAGGCTTTGGGCCAGATTACACGATTGTAAATGTGCCACAGAGAGTATAATTATAGCCTCTGTGACATATTTACAGTCGTGGATATAGCTGTCGAAAAATGGCTTGCTTCTAACTTCCCAATAATTATCCCTTTCATAAAATTGCCCATGTGGCATTTTCATTGTCAATATCATATAAAACAGTAACAAACTATACTGAACGGTTAAACCGCAATGGAAACAATGCCACGCTACCGCTGTTTTTATGGACACTATATATTTTGCATAAGTTTTAACGAAACATTCGACATTATCCTGGTTATTCAATATTTTGTGGGAGGTCTTCATATACTATATTTTTTTAACCACAAAATATGAAACTCTTAAGGCAAAAATATCCTGCGCCGCTCTATGCATGACATACTTCGAAAATATGAAGAATGTTTGCACATGAATGCGGGTCAGTTGAGAGATGTTGTCTTCAAAGCATAAATGGCAAACTATGTTGTTTTGAAATCTTGTATATAAAAATTCAAACATTAATAACCATCTATTTATAATCGTTCATTTTTCTTCCGAACTCTGTAGTTGCAGGATTTTGAAAAAATGGATGCATATAAATTTTTTTTTTAAGTATCCAGAAAAAAATTAGAAATGTTTGTAAAATTATAGAAAATAGTGATGCGATCTAAAAATTTCCCTTTTCTTCTTAAAAATAGAAAAAAATTGTCTCGATTTTATGTAATTTGAAGACAACACATCATCGTCAACCTTCACTAGTTTTCTTAGAAGAACAATAATAGCTTTTCAAATAAATATAATCAGAAATAAATTTGTAACACCTCTTTCATCATGTTAGATGATTATTTAATAATATGGCAGAAATATACAAATTTCTGTAAAATACGTAAAATTTATTTACATATTTTTATTTTCCTCAGATTCGAATCTTCAAGGTTTCTCTGAATCACTTATCTAAATGATTTTGCATATTTATTTACTTCCAGATACTTTAACTCTTCTACTTTAATATTTATGAAAATTATCTATACAAATTTGTGATTTCCACAGTTGAAAACGTGACTTAAATTATATGAATTATTAGACAATAATATTGAAGTAATGTCTATTGAGGCATGAACTAATACTCTTCTAAGGAGAAATTACTATTATTAATATAAAAATCCTTGGATTTTATTTATCTGTCTTTTTAATTAATTTATCCTTGTCGAGTTATCTAATTCTACATTTAATATTCCTTATTTCTTCCTGATTGCCTTGATCTATCTCACTCTATTTTTCCATTAGAATTTCACATTAATAATACAGTTTTATTATTTGATCAATACGCGATTATTATGCTGATTCAAATGTCAAATTTTACTTTGAGTTAAATAATATGCATTATAGTAAAAATAAAATGTTTATAACAGGTAAATATGTAAAATTCAATGTTTAAAACTCAGATAAAATCATCCTCATTTGATATGCTAAACCAAAATTAAGGTATTTTTTTATTGGTTTGAGATTCTACCTTGATACAAAGAGTTAACTTTCGTCTTTAATTTGCCTCATTTTTTCATTAAATTTTTAAAATAAATTTTAAAATTGTCCATTAAAAATTCCTACTGATGTATCAATTTCTGATTTTAATCCAATTGAAGTCTGAAATTTAATGTAAAATACATAATTTATGAATATATGAAAGTAAGTCTTCTGTACTGACCTTTTCTATAAGGTCAGAAGAGGAGATAAAAAAGTGGGTTTTCTGGAAGGTTGTCGTTTCTATTAAAAAAATATGTAAATTATTTAAATGACTTATATACTAGTATATTTTTAAAAGTACATATAGTATAAATAAAAATACATATTTTACATTTTTCGGCATATGACTCACGTTCGTTTCTTGTTGGCACGTCTCTAGTGCTATATTTAAATTGATTTTGCTTGAAGTATGTTATTACAATTGTATTATTATTATTATTTGTTAAAATACACCCAACATTTGAATAAACCATTATTGTAGCGAAAAAAATCGAATTACTACCGAATTTCGGCATCTCTTTAATTCTATTTAGTGTATCCTCATACTTTGTATTCCTCATAAGGTCATGCAGAAATACCATAATTTTTGTCACTATATAACACTTTAAATGTAAATCTGTGTGCATTGCGATTCAGAGGTTTAGTTTAATAAACTTAAACTTGTATACTTTCTCATGCAGTGCACTTCAAAAGCCATCCGAGAATAGAAAGGTACTATACTTACAGTACGACCCAAGAGAGATTCAAACTGTCCTCCTGTTGAAAACATAATACGCATTTTCCCTATTTATAGGAAGACATTCTACATATTTATAGTAAATAGGAAATTAGTAATAATAATATTATCCGTATGCTCTCGTGTGTGTATTTCATACAATAAATGATACAAATGATATTAATTAATAAACGATACGAACTCAAAGTGTGACATAACTATAATTATAATTTTTTATTACATAAAATCTATCAAAACATTCCAAAATAAAAATCTTGACATAATACATATAAATACAGTATATTAGCAAATGCAACGTGGATAAATACATTGTTGAGAGCGCATGCCAAAATACAGTCTGCCAGCTTGAAGAAGCCACCTGATGACATAGCTATTACGTAATCAACATGCACATTTACTATTATTTTAGGAGTATAGCTTAAATCATATCTCTTAAACCTGAAATATCTTTAAATATTTTCTCTAAAATGAAAAAAAAATATTATATGAAAAAAATCAAACTCAGAAAAATGTAATTTCACAAATGGATATATAAGAATATTTGTGAATTGTAATTTTTTCCACTTGACATTTTCACATCCGTGGATATGCACAAGGAGATTTTAAGAGTTTAACCTCTCCCATCTGGAAATTCAAACAGAAAAATGTTACTAAGTTAATAAAACAGTTGATTGTATACAACTTAAATGTATTTTGCCTATTCATTTTCTCTTTAATCTACTGTCTTGTGTTACTTTGCATACCTAAAATGTAAAAATTAATATAAGTTATTACATTATGAAAAAATAATTTTTTAATCCTACCGTTTTAAAAATCTTGCGCATTGGTCTGATACATTTCTATAGGATATGCGCTAACAGTCTATTTTGATGCGTACCCAAACTGTAGAATTTTAAAATAATTTGTTTAAGTAAAAAAATAAATATATGAAAGATTATTACTGTTTATTTGAATATTGATTGATTGATAATTGATTCTGTGAAAGAAATGGCATTATTGCAATATCAATATCATAATAACAGTCATTCTTTGTACACAGGTGTTTTTGTGCATATCTAGTGTCAATTATTTACTATCATTAATAATAGGAGGTGTAATATATTCAAAAATCTACACAATAAACTTCATTTTAATAACAATGGAAGGAAAAATAACCATATAAAATTCCATACATTAATAATTTAACTGTCATTTTCCTTCATAAGAGGAATTGGTAGTACTTTTAAGTATTTAACGCATTTATATTAATAATTTATGTACATTTACTACTAGAAAAGGAGCTAATTGCTAAAGCATTATTCAATTCAATTGCTATTTAGATTCATACCATCCATTATAATCTACATAATTAATTATATTCTAATAGGCCTATAAAATGTGTCAAAGTTTCAAATGTTATAAATTATAATACTGTAATCTCTCGTTATATCGCGTTTGTCGGAAGACAAAGAAAAAGCGCGATATATCCGACGGCAAGATATTACCGAGAACTAAAAATTCTGGGTTTATACTAAACAGATTATACATGCTATGGAATCTCTATCTTCTATTCTTTCATCATCAAGTGTTTCCGATATAAAATAAGCTTAGTTTTGCAATACTGAATTTTATTCTTGGTTATTTCGTATTAAATAACGTTCACGTAAACATAGATACCACGAACGTCCATTTAGCATTATTGATTCTTTAGCAATGACATTTAAAGAAAAATAGTGTCGATATAAAAACAAAATATCAGTTGCGATTTTATTGTACACTTCTATACTTCACAATAAATCACTTATTAAAAATTCGTGTAATTTATATTTTTCAATAAAAATTATAAATACAGTATTTGAAAATTTTTAAAAAAGTAAACATTAAACATATAATATAACATCAAAACTTATACAAAATTATAGCTTTTAAAATCTGGGGATAAAAAAAGCGCGATATATTCGAATCCGCAGTGTAACGAGGGGGTACTGTATAATAATAAATGGATAATATTTGTAAATAAACATTTTATGTACACGTACTCTATCCAATTTCTAAGGCAAAAAGTTTTTTTAACTGTCAAAAATAAATTCTAAGAATTTTTAAATTACGGGAAATTAAATGAATATATTATATAAATTAAGTTAAATTATAGTAAATTACTTTTATTTTCAAACAATAATTACAGTAAGACTATTCAAAATTAAATTGCAATAATGCAACATGTCTTAGCCAAGAAATAAAGAAAAAATTTAAATTGATTCCTCAAATCTTCAAGTTAAATTTATTTAAAATTTTAAATTAAATAAAATAAATTTCTATTAATTCTCTAATAATTTAATGACGAAATAAATTTCAAATAATAGATAAATTTTAGTTATTGAATAATGCTTTTAAAATACCAAATAAAGTTTTAATTATTTTAAGATATTAGTGTTGTGAATTGTGTCCGAGATGCTCAGCCAACATTGAGGAACACACATTATAGTGACTCACTGTAATGGGTGTTCCGTAGGGTTTCTTATTTCCCGGTCTTTTGCTTGTCCCGGGATTCCGGGATAAAAGTGAACTGTTTCCCGGAATCCCGGAAAATCCCGGGACAAAATTAATTATTTTTAAGAAATACAAAATATCTTGAAATCAAATGTTATAATTATTTTTCATTTTTTAAAGTAATTTAATACGTTACGTTATGCAACCTCCAAAATCATATTAATAATGCTATGTAAGATATATACATTAAAAATTAGTCTACCTTTGAATTACGTAGAAATTTTCACAAATAGAAAACATTTATTAAAGTTTGCTGAAAACAGCATACAACAACAACAAAATGCTTTAAATTGATTATATCAACACACCTGAATTTTTTGCCGAGAATAAATTCTTTTAATTTCTCAAATCGTTTTCAACCTACTTATTATAGGCCATCTTCAGGCTTACGATTACCGTTCCAAAATGAAACGCAACGTTTTTCGAATACACTTCATTTTAAATTTAAAAGATTTACAATAATTGTGCATATTAAATATATGAAATAATAAATAAATAACAGTAAATAAAATAAAATAGCATAAATAAATAAACACAGTAAACAAGGCTAAATATAACTACTGCAAGCTTTAAAGGTTTTTAATCCCCCATGATTTTTTTTTTATCATGTACTGTACTTCCATGCTGTTGGAAGCGCATTACCATCTTTGGCATTTAGGCAACGATTTTTTATTTTACTTTTATATATTTCCATCTTTTCCATTTCTTGGAGATTGGACCGTTTTAATGATTTTTGACTCATCCCATTTTACATTTGCTCCTTCCGTCTGCGCCATGATTGCTAAAATGGTGTTGTTGTGCCTTTTATTAACGTTGTATTTATGTTCTCGCATACGTATTGCTAAGTTTCTTCTGGTTACACCAACATAATCCTTTGCTACTCCTAATTGTCGATTTTCAAATGGTATTTTATAAACTCCAGCTTTCTCTTGCATTTTTACGCTGTGTTTATCGTTCCTTAGTAAGCTATAGATGTTGGAAGCTCTTTTATATACCATTCTTGCGTTTTTATAAGTATGTACTTAATTCATTCATCACTTCCCCTATATGCTTATTTTATGTGAATTTGTTAATTGCATCTACTTTAGTATCTTTTTTGCCTTTATGTTGTATGTAACTTTTGACCAGGCCTTCAATGCATTTTGTAGCCTAAATTTGTTGCAATTCTTTTAGTTCTTTAGTTCTTTTAGTTCTTTTTTAATTCTTTTAGTTCAATTCTTTTACTAATCTTCTTAAGGCAATCCTGTATGTTGGAGCAATATAAAACCGCTCTTCTAATAAGTGCCTTGAATACTGATAACTTGTATTTATATGGATCGTTGGACCAAGATGGTATATATAGGGGAGCATGCGTATGTTTTAAAAATGGTCTGTAATAAGTAGGTTAAAAACGTTTGAGAAATAAAAAGAATTTAGCTCAGGTGTGTTGATATAATTAGTTGCAGTTGCTGAGAAAGAGGTGATAGCTTTGAATTGAGTTAAAAATTTTAAAAAATAAACTTAGATCAATGAACTTAGATCAAACTTCAAACTTAAAACGTAATTTTCGTTTTTTAAATAAAACATAATACAAAATATTATTGTAAATTTTTATAATAAGATTTTAAAAAACAAAGATGGTCAAACCAGATTGGTTAGGATCACTCAATCTGGTTCTTATTTTAGTAATAAAAAGTTCCGCTACCGAAAATGCTCTTTCCGATTCAATTGATGTGGATGGAATCGTCTTTAATTAATGCATTTATGAGAGACGGATGTTATGTGTTTTTCGCCTGTAGCCTGGATGTTATGTGTTTTTCGCCTGTAGTTCGTTTTCGAGATTGTAGTACTTCTTTTGCCGTGTAGTATTCTTGATTTGTCTACCTCGGCTGCTTTAACAGAAACATCAAGCTTATAGCCCAATAATTCGGCAGTTCGTTTGTCTTTAATAATCAGGTTTATGAAGAAAAACTTCGTACTTGTATACTTCATACTCGTTTGTATCTTTGTCCAATTTGCACAACCTGGCATAATGGAATTATTGAAGCTACTGGGCATGGTTAAAAATTAAGACAGCGTAAGCACAATTATTCCAGATATTACAGGTTCTGACAAGTAAAAAATTTTCAGAGTTCTGCCACAAATAAGCTACATATTGATCATTGACCATTTGTGATATGCCATAACTAGGGTTTATCCCGAGTATGAAAATATCCCGGGATAAGAAAAATTTCCCGGGATATTTCCCGGGTTTAAAGAACAACCGGGATCCCGGGATCCCGGGATCCCGGAATCCCGTTTCAGAAACCCTAGTCGCCATCATTCATTTTTTAACGAGCAACGAGAAAAATACAGTATATGCTTAAAAGCAGTTCTGTCTCCGGAGTACACTTCAAATAAAGTGCCGACAATCAACAATGTTCATTCGAGCTCGATTTTGAATAAAATACAGTAGATCCCCTTATAAGACTGGTTCTTATAATTACGATTGTAGTAAGACTGCGAAGAAATTGTGGCGGTATCCGTAAACAACAGTAAAATAACTCTTATAATTACGTATAACGTCATCGGGCAGCCGAACTACTTTCCGCCATCCAGCGCCACACTACAGAAAGTTTAGGCAGATAAATTGAGTTTAGTATCGTCTGTACATATAATTATATATAAATAATATATAAATTAGATACTGTATGTATAATTATATATTAACTTAATTTATTGTAACTTTATTATAATTATATATATACTTTCCGCCGTCTAGCGCCACGCTACGAAGAGTTTAGGCAAACTATTGTCTGTACAGTATGTAAATTCGGTACCGTAAGTCTAATACAGTACTGTAATTTTATACATTTCTTATTCAACGGCCATAAATATTGTTTATATTAATGATGTCTTCAAAGTTCAATGAAGTTTTCGCAGAAAAATAACAATCAGAAATCGCTGCCGCCGTTTGCTGCGCTGTTTCGCGACAAAATTAAGCTTGATCAACGGAGTAGTCGAACGGGGCACACTCGGTAAGTAATCCTACAATTTTTTGTTTATACGGATTATTTGCAAAAGAATATACGTATTTTGGAAATGTTGAGACGAATCAGTCTANTGGAGGTTACAGAACTTTAAAATTACTTTAAAAAATGGAAAATAATTATATCATTTGATTTCAAGATATTTTGTATACCTTAAAAATAATTAATTCTATCCCGGGATTTCCCGGGATCCCGGGAAACAGTTCACTTTTATCCCGGGATCCCGGGACAAGCAAAAGACCGGGAAATGAGAAACCCTAGCCATAACGAAGAAAAATTAAAAACAACTAATAAGTAGATTTAAAATTAATAAATACAAATGTTTTCTGACAGTTTATGAGTTAATTATACTTTCTATTTGCAAAATTTCCTCAACCTTAACACAAAATAAGAAAAACGTAAATTTTTAAGAAATTTGCGGGATTTCCCGGAATAAGAAGAATTTCCCGGGATATTTCCCGGGTTAAAAAAATAACCGGGATCCCGTTTGAGAAATCCTTAGCGAGGTTAACTGGACATGAAGAGTAAAATCTTAACCAGAAAATCCACGTGGATAATTGCAATTTTTTCAACTTTGTCTAACAACAAAACATGCAAGAACAGAATCTTATGGGGAACTGACTTAAGTCAGTTCCCCATAAGAATAGGAAATGAATAACGATAAAATATAAACGATAAATTAATAGGAAATGAATAACGATAAAATATATCATAAACATCGAATTTTATTAAACAAATATAATTAAAAATTGGAAAAATTGTTAAAAATACGTTTTCAAATAGCTTTATATTTTTTTAATTTGAATTAAATTTCGTTAATTTTTTGAATAATTTGCATATTTGTTATCTGAAATGATATTCAAAATATTTAATGATTCTTATCAACCAACAGTGAAGAGGCTTTGATCTAGAACTAGATAGATTTCTGCCATTGTTAAATTTAAAATAGTTTGAGATAATTTAAAAAATTATAGTATATTATTCCCTTGTATTCTTTAGCAATAATATATAAATTTTTCATCCAAACTTCTAATAATGTTTTTGCGAAAACTCAAAAATCCAAGATGTAATTAAAATATTTACTCAAAATTGCAATCCAGAATTCATTAACAATAATTCAAAAACTAGAATGTACTTTTATATTATAATTTTTAAAGCATTATATTTATTAGGCAGTTGTTTATATTATGATACTAATGAATATTTACAAATATGTCACGAAGATACGATACTTGATTATGTTAAACGATAACATTAAGTTTATTAAATATTTAAACGAATATACGAATATATTTAATATAAACTTAATTAACAAGGATACAGCATAAATGAAGAGTTAAAAATAATACCAATTAATTTTATTTTTTATTCAGTAAATTTGTAAAATATAAATACTATTTTCCAATGACAAAAGCTTCTATTAGGCTATATTTACTACATTATACAAAACGAAGCTCTTACTCGACTTTTCAGGCACTCAAACAGGAGGTAAAGGAATAAATTTTCAATTATATTACGATTTTAAATTTAAATAATGGCAAATTCTTAGAAGGAGTAATTTTGTTAAATTGTGAGAATTTTTTTTTATATTTACGTTTAAGAAATATTAAGACACATTAACATAAAGTTAAAATTATGTATGGCGCTACCTGTTAAAAAGTTTTATTTTATTAATTATTATAAAAAGGCAAAATTGTAAATTCCAGTAACGAGTAAAAGTTTCTTTAAGTCCGATCTCCACTCGAAATATGACACATAACCCCGTATATCTCACATCCTTCGACCTTTATCCACCAAAATTTGATAGCTTCAACGCCCCTTATAAGCAAGTTATCCTGTCATGTTAAATTTCGTTTCTTAATATTTAACTCATCCTGAGATATTAAACTAAATAGACATCAACACACACACATGAAACTTTTTCCCGTTTTACTTTCCCGGTTGTCATGTATACCCAACAAGGAAAAGTGTTGGAACCGCGTCAAATTTTACTCTCCGAGTTTTTTTCCACGCTTTGAGACCCCTTGAACTCATAAAGTCAAATAAGGCGAAAAATTCTGTGATATGTACGTGTGGTTTTGTATTTATTCGTTTAATATCTCAAGATGGGGTAAATTAAGTAACGAAATTTTGCATGGTAACTTGTATATAAGGGATACTGACGCTATTAAATTTTGGTGGTTAAAGATCAAGGGAGTGAAAAGATAATTTGGTGGTTAAAGGAGGGGGTTATGTGTCATATCTCAAGAGTAAGTAAAGTAATGAAGACTTTACTTACTCGTTATTAGCATTTACAATTTATTTTTTATATAAAACTCATCACTACTCTCAAAATTAAGCTTTTGGCTATTTTATAATAATAATTTTAAAAAATATTTATAACAAAATCTCATAAGAGATGGCGCAACACACAACTT